CAACAAATAGCCAACTTACAAGGTAGTCGAGCTCAGATGAGAGGCATAGCGACTCACACCCAGGTAAATTGGTAAATCATCACTTTGGATAGGATCTTTTGTAACTTCAGTTGTCTTAGTTCATGTCAGAATGTGGGAGTTAACTTTACTTTTTACTTTTATTTGGTTTGCAGGCAATATCTGCTCAATCTTCTGTTGCTGTTGGTATGAAAGGTGCAAGCAAAGCTATGGCAGCCATGAATAAGGTTTGACCATGCTTCTAATTGAAATTTACTGTTTTCATATATTAGCTTCATGAAATACTATTAATAAAAATTATTGCAATAATTTCCAAAATAATATAAAAGGAAATTAGTTTGTTAATATTTAACATGGAACCATTAGATAATTTAATTAGTGATCCAAGGGTCTGGATTAAATACAGAGAAGTCGTTTCTCCTTTGGATAGACACCTAGAGAAGGTTGTCTCTCTTTGAATAGACACAAATATGTTCTTTGATAGTGAAATTGCTATCTTTACTGACAAAAACGACGTGTTCCTGAGATAATATCTGTTGTTTTAGGACTCCTCTTTCATTTTTATTTAATGTTGAGGGGCTGAGGGAATACCTGAAATTTGTTCTTATCTTGAAATGTTGACTTGGATGGTCAATGAGATATGAAATTCTGAGATTTAGTTTTGTAATTAGCATATCGTGGTATTGAGGATAACATCATATTGTAATTATATTTTTCCATCTTCTACCATTCATGATTTTTATGCTTATTAATTGGACTTTATTGCAGCAAATGGCACCTGCAAAGCAGGCAAAGGTGATTCAAGAATTTCAGAAACAATCTGCACAAATGGATATGACAGTAAGTACATATTTGGCATTGTATTTCAAAAAGATATTACACTTATTTTCCTAATGGAGTTAATATCTGGTTTCATATTTGTCCTTGTAGACGGAAATGATGTCAGACGCCATAGATGATGCTTTGGATAATGATGAAGCTGAGGACGAAACTGAAGAGTTAACAAACCAGGTATGATTCTTGCTGGTTGGACCAGATGCTGAAATTAAAGTTTTATCAAGTGCAAATCCTGTTAGATAATTAAATCACTAAGATTATTTAATCCAATTATTGATTTAAATGGGAGTTGGTCATAATTTGAATTGCTGTCCTGGATCAAGTTCACTAAAACTACTGTTCAGAAGCCATAATCTAAAAAAAGGGGAAAAAAAAATATACTTATCTTTTTTTCTTTTTTATTATTATAATATATTTGTTAAAAGATCATAAGATAGTCAAAATCAAGAATTTAATGATGTTACTCTGCTCTGTATCATTATTATCGTTGAACTATGAATTTTCTTCAATTACAAAATATTCTATTTGATCTTCATGTTAAACCTAGAAAGATCATTAGGAAATAGGAACCAAATATATACGTTCCAGGTGCCCTGTAGAGTTTTTCGCTTCATGGAGTTCTACCTGAATCAAATTTTCAATGCAGATCACTGTAGTGTAGGGTAATTGGAAACTGACCAGTGGCCACAATTATATTTTTACAAAGAATGTAGATTATTTGAGAATTGAAGTATTTATTGTCAAGTGTGGGTATTATCCCTTGCAATACATTTCACTTGTTTATGCTTAACTGATGTTTCCAGGTGCTGGATGAAATTGGCGTGGATATTGCCTCCCAGGTTAGTTTTTTTTTCGAAACTTCTACTTTGATGCAGTGAGAAGTTTTCATGTCTTATATTTAATTTGGTGTTTCCTTTCGGGTTCTTGACAGTTGTCAACCGCTCCCAAAGGAAAAATTGCTGGGAAGAACACTGAGGATGTTGGAAGGTATAGTTTTTCAGACACAAATGCCAATGTCATTATGTCTCTGTAGTGTTATTTCTTGTAAGAATGAATTTCAGCACAGTGCTGCAGACTTAATATATGCTCCGCAGATGGCAATTCATGGCACCATTTCTTACATCAACTGTAGTTAAGAGGCGTTCACGTTAAGGAAGAACTGATGTCTTAAATGAATAAACCAATAACTTAAACTGAATTTTGGTAAATCCTTGTACTGGCGGTGTCCAAACTGGCATGGCTTGTGCTGGGCGGGCTCATGCAGGTCAATGGGCCCCTAAAGCTGGTCCCCCACAGCACAGCACAGCACAGTTCCGAATCGGGTGGCATGGCCAATCTTGACACACTTTCTTGTGGCGGACAAAAATGCACAAATAATTGGATGGTTCTACACCGACACTTCCCCCATTTCCTATGTATTCCGTGTCTCTCTCAAAATCACACACACAGACAAAACACGCATGCTCACAATTTTTTGAAAGCCGAAGAATTAATGGTCAATTGGTCACAGAACTATAACATTGTTCCTTCACATTATTGTCAATCTTGGGGACACACACAAGGTTATTATTACCTGGTTTTGAAATAAGCAAACATTGCTTTTCTTTTACTAAATATTATTTACTACCAAAGTTTTGGGTGTACACCTTTCTGTTTACTGTCTAATTTTCCTCTGTTCACATTTTCTGAAGTAGAAATGAAATGATTTATTCTTCAAGTTTCTATTGATTATAATCCCCAATTAACTTCAAGTTGCACGATGTTCATTCCGTCGTGGGATGGGAACCGTCTTTTCTTTATATTTTTTTTGTACTATTTGCTTTCCAGTCGCAACAGTATCTTCTAGTTTCATTGATCATGTAAGCCACGTTCTCTTATTTATTTTGCTACTTGTAGTTCGGGCGTTGACGAACTGGAGAAGAGGTTGGCTGCCCTCAGAAATCCTTGAGCTGCATGCAATCTGAATTGTCAATATTGTCCTTTCTGAGTCGACTATTGCTGCTTCTCCATGCTGATTGAATTTCCCAAAGATGTGCATAGTTCCATTAACACACTCGGTCGGTCATCCACCTCGTATTGTTCCTTCCTTTTTCTTTTCAGATGTATTTGGAAGATCGTATTGTGATCGACATGCGAATCTATCAAGTTCTTATTAACCTTCAATGCTTATGTTTCTGCTCATTCACGGTTATCTGTTCGTAGGAAAATTGGAACACAGCTCTTGATGTGCCGTTTAACACCATTTTTGTGCATTTTCAATTGCAACAACTTTTCGGGAGTTTTACTTTTCAGAATGACAGAAGCTATCCTTCTCGCTTGAATTGATACAATTGGTCGAGTATATATCGTAAAAATATCATTTCTCTTATGCAATTTGATAACATATTTGTTGGAATTTAGAAGAATCGTCCAACCAGAGAAGGATGCTTAACAAGACCATGCTATTGTAAGGATGAGATTTATAGACTTCCAATAGAAAGAGCTTATTTGGACGATGTGACTGGGACTGAGACATGGACTCTTGGGACTTCATCAATGGAGAACTTGAGTGTGGCTGAGACATGGCCGAATTGCAAAGGAAATAGTGGCCATTGGCCGGTAGACCCGGCCATTTTTCCAAAGAGGCCTTTGACCAAATAAAAAAAAAAAAAAAAAGGCAAAAATGTTTAAAATCTTGATAACCGAGAAAAACTCAAATTTATCCTTACCATTTCAAGAAGAGAGAGTAGACAATAAGGAAAGAGGAAATTTACTGTAGTATTGTCGATCCAGACACCGAGAGAAAAGGAAAAACATGAGACCCAGTTGGTCATTTCTCTCTGAAGAAGGTAAGCTTTTGATACCAAGAAAAAACATGTTTTTATGTTAATTTTTGGAAAAAAGCATAATTTTATATACGTATGTTGAGAAATCCTTGTGTATAAGGTTTAAATGTGAAATTTGGGTAAGGATAATAGTTTGGGGGGGGGATGGAGTGGAGATCGCTTGAATCCCGTCGCTGGGCTATCTGGGTCTCGCCCAGACAGCCCAGACGGACCTAGTCAACTGGGCGCCCAGTTGACTGGGTGGCCTGGGCCACCTTTTTTTTTTTTTTACGTATTATTTATTTCCTTTAATTATTGAAGTAATTATTTTATTTA